AAACTATCTACCCACCAAATTTGAAATCGATCGGACCATGGGAACTCATTTAAATAGCATACTAAAGTTTAAAATTCGTTTTTCTCAAAATGGGTTTTTGGGAGATATGCCCTTCTTGAAAAGAAGGGTTCAATTTTCTTGTAGGCGAAGAAATTGATGAGGCCTCAGAGAGAGCACGATTGAATAAACATGAATAAATTGTTGGAGAAATACCGAAAAATTTGAATTTGTAGAGAGTTTCCAACCGTCAACTTACCTTCGACAACCTCCCTTCGCTATCCGTTTTACAAGCTTTTATGAATTCCGAAGCTGTGGCGTACAACTCGAAACAATGAGGCTTATTGCGATCGGATGCTTCGCGAACTTGAATATTTTCTAATGGAATAATACCACGAGGCTCCTTGTCCGTCGTGTATTCGAAATAGTAGAGGCAGTTATCGTTCAGGATGAACCATCTTCGTTTCCAACTTTTATATCGTCCACCTGAGAACAAATAAATAAATTCATTTAACACGTCAAACCCCTAGTTGATTGGAAAACAAAATAACTCCCACAGATCTGTACGCTTCTCTACAGTTTACACAACGAAATGCAATATTTCATGGCTCCAAATGAAACCATCTGAGACGTGCAAACGGACTCTGGGGAGCAATTCCAGTCTGAACTTTCCCCAACTCTACTACCGCACAGTGTTCTGAAGTACAAGTTTGTGCGGCCAAAATATTTTAGACGCTAATATTACCTTATTTTGCCATAAATTGAATCAATTGTGTAAAATTTTTGCATTTTCACCCCCCTACACCTTCCTCCTATAAACCATCAATTTTTCAATATTGAAGTAGGTATCTCATTCCCAATTGCATTAAATTAAACAATCATCTTTTCAAAGGTGTAAATAGTTACTCAATACATTTAAAACTCAAATTCTGTGATTGAGAGTTTCCACTTCACATGTTTGTCAAAAAAAATATATACATCAACAAACAATAGTCATCTATAACACCCTAGCAATTTACTGGGTAAAAGTATCAAAATGAAAATTTTGTGAATAAATAGAATGATGATTTCTTGGAAAGTTGCAAAAAGTAGCAGATGAAATTTACATTGACTTATAGGGAATTTTATGTAGAATCTGATGATCTAATCAGATTTTTGGCCAAAGTTGGCCTTTTTTTTGAACAGCCTTTTAAACAGATACATTTAAATGAATTCATATCACTGAACATTGAAGTAATATTTTGGCCATGACACAAAATATGTCATGCTGTGTGAGGTATATCATTGAAAAGAGGACATTTCACCGATTTCAGGAGGGAAAAAAATTCACTCATACATTTTTTTTAATCAGTAAAATTGTGACGAAATAATACTTTGTCTTTTTTACGAAATTGTAATGTTCAATAAAATAATCATCTCTAATGTCTAATTACAGGATCTAAATACAACTTTTTTGAAATACAATGATTACCTACATATGATCTCAGTAGACTCTATTAAACAAATTTATACTAAATTGATGCAGCAAAATCACAAAAATTTTTAGAGGTTTTGGCCACACAAACTTGGATTTTAGAACATTGTGTACCGTCTGATTCGTTGGGATTAAATCCACACATGTCCCCCCTCCCCAAAAAGCTCAAAAATTTGCAAATGCACGCCTAGATTTGAGAGGCCTGTCGAATGTTCTCTTTTATCTTTGGCTCTGAACGACAATTTTCGCAAACCGATGGCTTAGGCTGTAGTCTACAAAAATTAGCGATTATCGAACTTTCGCACGACTCAAAATTGTCTCAATCGATGCGTTCGCAGCTTCGACACGAACCATTAAACCCTCGAACGTACAACTTTCTACTTTCCATCGGGCCTGTATATTTATCTTGAACGAGACTTTCCAAAAGTTTTCACCCTAATACCCGTTTCTGGCGTTAACGTCACCCCTTGGCGAAAGAAAATTTTCCAAACTCCCGCATCTCTCCACATTCTAATGGCTCCGATTACGTAATCGCTAAGAGGATTATATTCGTGTAGGTAGATGGAAGCGTGTGAAGCACACATCCCCGCGCATATAAATCCCCTGGAGGGGGGATTTGAGCTTTTCTTATATCATTCGCGTCATCGCCTTTTCGACGATCCACTCTTCAATTTATTAAGACGCGAGGTAATTTTGAAGGAGAAAGATTAAAAAATGAGTTCAGAATATTCATAGGTACCTTGTTTCCACAGCCATCCTTCTTTATCCGGATTGAAGAACGTATGCATCAAATCGTTGCCGTCGTCTTCTGGTATCTTGAATGGCTCGGTTTTAATACTTTCGTACAGACTCTGCAAAAATGAAATTAACAATTTAAAAAAATTGCATAAGAAGTAGTTTTTGATAGATTTCAACTCAATGTCTAACTTTTAACCATAACCTATAAATTGTAGAAATT